CTATACTGTTGAAGATGGCGATGATTTCAAGAGACACATAATTAAGTATTTACATTTCAAGAAATATACCTTTAAGCATTGAAAGCATCGAAGATATAGTTTTTAATGAAAATGAAAACTTAGATTGTTTGTTAGATGGCATTGAAACCGATAACGGTTATGAAGCAGTGATAATAGTTGAGGTAAATATGTTTGTAAGGTTTCATCATTTCAATTATGAAGACGACCATTTTAACACTTTTAGTTTTTATTTTCGTAGTGATGATTTTGTAGATAATATAACCATAGATAATATATCCGAAGTAATGATGGAGGCACATCAAACAATATACAGATGTATTGATGATGAAAGAAGTAGAATGAATTTTGGAGGAGTACAAAACATAAGGTTTAAGCTAATTGTTGATGAACCTGTATAATTCAAAACTAAACCATAATTATATCATTTATATTCTTATATGTTATAATTATAGTGAACTTTTAATCTATAAACATTTCATTAAATGACAATCCAGAAGAACCGCCCAAAAGCCAACCCGTGAAACCACAGAAAGTCCTATCCTCTTTCAATCAATAAGACTAAAAGTTGAAATCTGGAACGAGACAGGGGACCAAATCATCAATTCGTTACCACATCCATATCGTTATTTCATGCCCCCAAAATCAGCCTTGAAAAAACGAATAAGGTGGTACACGTGTTGAAATGTGAAATAAAAAGCAGAACAGGCAACCATCTACCCCCCACCCCCTAGAATCAGCCTTTTCTACATTTTTTGGGGGGGGGTTGTTCGGTATGGAGGTTATATACCACTTAAGGGGTACATACTGCCTTACAAGCTTGTTTGGGTGTCATACAAGCATACTTGAAAATGCCCTTGATGTTTGGGCCAATACTGGCTGGTGTTTTAGCGATTGGGTGAACTTGTAACACACGCATGTGTGTGTGTGTGTGTTTTGTGTGTGTGTGTGCTGGGCGTGGGTGCGTGTGTGTGTGTGTGTGTGTGAGCTTTGTTTGTTTGCTGAATTGGTTTGTGTGGTGTCTGCTTGGTTGGTTGGTTGGTTGCTTGTTGGCTGATCTGTGTGATCGCTTGGTTGCTTGATTGCTTGCTTGCTGGCTGGCTGGCTGGCTTGCTGGCTTGGTCGCTTACTTACTTGCTGCTTGTTTGCTTGCTCGCTCGCTTGCTTGCTTGCTTGCTTGATTTTTTGCTTGCTTGCTTGCTTGCCTGCTTGCTTGTTTGCTTGCTTGCTTGCTTGCTTGCTTGCTTGCTTGCTTATGCATCTTTGTCATTATTTACTAATTCATTTATTTGTCTGTTTGCAGATTTGTCGATTTGTTATTTGCTTGCTTAGCGTTATGTCATTACATGTGTTGTGTTTATGCATTTTGTGATTGAGTTATTTGGTTGTTTATGCCTTTATTGATTATTTGCTTATGTCTGTTGATTATTTATTTTGCCTGTCTTGATTTCTTCATGTCTTTCTTTTGGCTTTATTTGGTGCTGTCGCTCTATGTGTTGTTCTGTTTTGTTGTGTTTGTGTGTCTTATTTTTACTGTTTTACAAATGATTGCTGAATGTGTTGTTCTTGTTTGTTGTGTTTTATTTGTTGTTTGATTGTTTGTTTGTTTGTTTGTTTGTTTGTTTGTTTGTTTGTTTGTTTGTTTGTGTGTTTGTGTGCTTGCTTGCTTGCTTGCTTGCTTACTGGCTGGCTGGCTGGCTTGCTTGCTTGCTTGATTGCTTGATTGCTTGCTTGCTTGCTTGCTTGCTTGCTTGCTTGCTTGCTTCCTATGCGTGTGTAAATTCGTGCGTTTGCTTGTTATGCTTGCTTTGCTTGTGGGTGTGTGTTCGTGCGTGTGTGCGTGTGTGCGCGTTTGCCTGCTTGTGGGTGTGTGTGTGTGTGTGTGTGTGGGAGTGTTTGCGCGGTTGCGTGTTTGCTGTTTGCTTTTAAGTATCTTGAACGTGTTTTACAGCATTTCAGGTTTGACCGTGTCTCCCTAGAAGCGGGGATTGGATTCCTTGAGTACGCGAGGAGTTTCACGAGTTGGCCAACATACTCGGCGGTGGCCTCAGCATGAATGGCGACTAGGACAAGGTCCGCGTCGCGCTAGTAGGGGCTGATGAAGCCGGATAGACAAACTTGCACCGACTGGTGCAGGGGTTTGTCCATCCACAGATGGCTTCCACTACCCCCGAAGCCAAGACCCACAGGCCTTGAATGAAATAAGCCACTATGTAGCCACTGTGCAGAGAATACACGGGGTGTCCACTGATTTTTAGGTATCCGGTACGTGGTGGCTATAGCGGGAAAGCCAAGGGAGACAACCACAACATATGGGTGTCCGCTTAAGGGTACTTGTAACGCTTGTGCACTTTGCCTTCTGCAAGGAAAGCAAAGGGCAACCACCTTTTTTGGTCTATTGTTGAGACAAACCCATGTGAAGTGCCAGCATGAATCCGTAGACAAGTTGGTTAGTGCCCCAGTCGTTCTGACAACCGACCAAATTATTTGTCACTGCCCAGCTGCCCAACCGCTACCGGCCCAACAAAAACATGGGCATGTAGCCCGAATCTAATGGTCAAATAGGGGGCTAATATTATGTGTATTTATATACCTATATATATATATATATATAGGCTCTGGGTAGTGATGCGGAGTTCAGCCGCAACCGTCTTAGATAGGAAGACGCTGCCGACATTGCAGGTATTGAGGAACTGGGCACGATTGCTCGATGTTTTACCTGTGTGTGTTTTGGACTTGCCCAGCTGCAAGCCTTGGGGCAGCGAGAGGCTTTGTTGGTGATTTGAAGCAAAGCGGTTCTTTTTGTGAAGAGCTGTTTGGTCAACCCAGAGGTTTGTTCTCTTTGATACTAGGGAACCTCCCTTGCTATGTGAGGAATTCGTGGATGGGAGGACCTAGACGTGGGCAAATCCCCACCCTTGATCGGTTTGTTGATGAGGGCAGGTCGATGCGGGAGTGGCTTGGAGCTCATGCTCGGCCGCAATGGCTAAACGTCGGGCCCAGCCAGCGGAACCCGCAAAGGGCCTAGTTCGCTAGTGGGTTTGGGGCTAAGGCTCGCTGGGTGGGTCGCTCTCCCGAAGCCGAAGGTCCCGAGAAGCTGCGCGGCTGCGAGTCGCAGACCACATGTGTTCTCTGAGTCTACTTGGAAGAATGACACGTTTCGCTTGCAACCTGTTTCGTTTTGGGTTCCCATTTGTTGCCAGGTCCCCACGATTTTGTTTCCAGGTTGTTTAGACACACGAGCCAAATGAGCGTTTAGAAGGGTCCCAGGCGAATGTGGGACACACACACGCACATGTTGACGCCTCGGCCTGTCATTCTTCCAAGCCATCCAAGCCGACTCCGTTGGATTGGCGCCGGCCGAGTCGAAGTGACCGGTTCGGATCGCGGTGTTTTTTTCTCGCGCGGCTCGATGTGCCTGGTGGAAACCTCGGATTTATCCAGTGAAGATGTTGAGGGTTCTCAAAGTTTTGGATGCTTTGGTGTTTTTGTTAGATTGCTAAAATGGGCATGTCTGCTTTGTAAGGGGTCCCCTTTGTGCCTTCGAGGGAGCCCAATCATTTTTTGGGGGAGTCTAGAGGAGCCCCAGGAGCCTTGCGCCCTGCGAGCCCTAGGCCTCTCTCCCGACATAGAAATTACTTGAAACGATGAATTTCTTCAGGGGAACATGTCTGATCAGGGGCGCCCCCAGGCTTAAGCCTGGGTTGATAGGGCGTTGTCGAGCCCTTGGCTCCATCAATCTGAGGTTGCCACTGTACACAAGGCGAGCACTCACAGGTGGCTCGCAGTGTCTCAGCTCAGGCATACGCAAGATGGGCAGCATGAACTTTTCTGCAGGAATGCGGGGTCCAACTAGTTGAAAGCCCTGAAGGTTCGAAGGGTATTCAAGGGAAGGGACCGGTCCATTCCATGCCCAAAAGAACAAGAAACTCCAGTTTAATGGTCGTTGCCATTTTTCCTCCCTTTTCTGTTGAAAGGGGGGGGCTTTCTCGACAAAGTTCACTTGTGCCCACCCCTTGAACACAGCCATTGCATGAGGAGGTCAATTTCTTGGAGTCAATTTCCCGGTGGGGAGACGTGAGTCCAACTGAACCTCGATCCTGGCCCAGCCTGGGGCCATCTTGCGTTGCCGCAGGGATCGAAGCAGATCGAAACCCGTGAGGCCGCGAGTCATGGCCCTCTGGATAGGCTTCAGCTGGGACGGCTTCCGTTTCGAGCAGAATTTGGCTGGCAGGTTGCCCAAACGGTATGGAGGTTTCAAGTTGGGACCTCGAGGTTCGATCTGCGCCTGTCCCTAGTTTTTTACCAATGTAAATGCTCTAGTGACTCTAGCCCTTTTAAAGGCGACTGCCCGTGACTCTGCGTCGGCTTTGCCAAAGTGGGTGGACCGGAGACATGGTAGGGGAACACAGGGCCTTCTTTTGTGGACCCTTGCTCCCCACAAGAAACGCCATGTTTGTCGCCCCGTTGGGCTGTTCCATTTGCTGCAGTTGGATGGGCACTCGCATCCTCAATCATAGGCCTGACCAGGCCGGACACAGGAAAAAGATGTGGCTGGCTGCTTATCGTCTGCAAGTCCCCCAGAAAGGTATGCTTCTTTGAGCCTTTTTTGGGGGGAAGTATCATATATGCTCTCGCTGGCATCTCTGGGGCCAATTGACTTCAGTTTGGAGGTGGTTGAGAAGAAACAACGGTTCTTACCAGAAGTGGCATGTCCACTGCAAGAGTCATGCATTGACCTGAGTTAGACGACTGCTTGACTCTTGAAATCTTCGGAAGTTCTTTTTAGCGACCCTGCTATGCCCGGTTGATCCATGACCTGGGGGATCCCAAAAAGAAGGGCTATGTTGTTGTTTTTGTTTTTGCCTGCAAGCGCCATTCAACATATGTTGACCTGGTTTCCCTTCTCTTTATGTTTTCCCCGATGTCTCGTATGGGTTTCCTTTATGGTTTCTGTGCAATTCTGTCTGCCGCACGTTCCTCTCAAGCCTCTGCGAGATCTCTATCAGGGCCTCAGGCGCGGTTAAACTGCGATCGGTGCAGGCGATGGGGACGGGGGGGGGGGATGGGGTCGGTGGGGTCGGGGGTACCCTTCTTAAAATAGTTTGAAAGGGAAACTCATAGGAAACTGTATTGGGTACACCTGGTGAATGGTGGCTGTGCTTCCCTTCAGAAAGGGAATTGTCAGATCCTTAGGAGCTGCATGTTGGATGCAGGCGATGTGCAAGGCCGGGGGCGATTTTGTCCCATGCTTCATCCAGCAGGGCCTTCTTTTGGTTGCTTTCGTTTGTGAAACCAAGTGATGGCTTGGAGATTTGAACCCCTCGCAGAAAGGGAGGAAACCACCCCTAGCCTCCAACCCGCCAAGAGGGAAACAGAGTTGAAGGTGGGGATTGCTTGCCGCCCTCGCGCGGCTCTGATTCTGCGGTCGGAAGAATGGGCAGTGCTATGTGGTATGTACAACCTGCAGCAGTTGAGGTTGTTAGTGCCGGTGAAAGGATTTTATTGAAACCCATTTCACTAACAATCAGGCTCCATTGGAACCTGGGTGTATTTGTTGTGTTTGAAGGGCAATCATGTTGGACATGATGTCTTGTTCAACATATCACATACCCAATCACTCCTTCTCCATTGCCCCCAAGAAAACTCACTACGACATAAATGTTGTTCAGACCAGTCCAAGCATCACCTTGAACAGCTTTCGTGCATCGCAGAAACCCCTTACTTCTTTTTTTTGCCGGCCCCCTTGACCTCACTCCCCAAGTTCATGGACTCTAGTTCGTTTGGTACGACCATGCGGTGGATGCACAAAATCCTGCACCACCCTAACAAACCCTCAAACCCTGGAATGGTGATTTCCCTGCAAAGGATCGGAAGTGAGTGACTGTGGTGAAAACCAATGGTTATGGCCGCTCTGCTGGGTGATTTCCCAACGTCTTGAAACATCCACCTGCAAACTTCAGACAACTCTGAGCGTGGTCAGTCATGGGCTGCATCAGGTCATGAGGACCTTCTTTCCCGCCGCGCTGCTGGCGAGCTGCCGCTCGGATGTTTTTTTTGGGCGCGCTGGGGAATGGGACATGCAGGGCACCCACGCGTCACGTAAGGGGTGATGGGGTGGGGGATAGGTATCAGCAAGGCTTAGTTGATGTGACAAGTGCCTAATTGCGCTTTGATCTTTCGATCACATTCTTGAACACCAAATCAAGTCATGAGACAAATCCAACCCCAAACCCACCTTAAATCAAGCTTAAGCCCATCCTAAAGCCACCTGAACCCACCCCAAACCTGTTTGACACCCACCTCAAACCCACCTCAAACCCACCCTGAGCCAAACAATCTTAAACCAACCGCCTGCAGTAATCCCACCCCCCAACAAAGCAACCTCAGCCATGCCCGACAAGTTTGCCATTGAAGCTTTATATGTTTGTTGGAAAACGAGGTGTCCAGTCTTTCTGCTGTGCGTTGCAGCAAAATGAGTATTTGTTTGATGTCTATAATGTTTTGTTTGTGATTTGCAGAAGGAATGGGACATGCATGACACCCACGCGTCACGTAAGGGGTGATGGGATAGGGGTTAGTTCAAGGCTTCCGAAAGGGCTGCGAAATTTCGAGGGCCAACGCCTGAGGAGAGAATGGGCCAATAAATCGCTACACGACCGTAAGCAAATAACAACCCGCATGTTCCCTGGGTCCCACGAGCAGCCTCTTACATATCGAAAACCACAAAGCAAACCAACGACAAACCCATTGGTCAGACGTTGCAAACTGATTTCCTACTTGTCTTTTGTTCAAGGCAAGCAAGCACAAGCGACGGCATCAGACAGTCCTTCCTGCCTTTCAGCCTTCCTGCCTTCCTTCCTTTCTTCCTTCTTTCTTCCTTCCTCGCAGTTGCCTTGCGAATGGCAATAGTTTTGAGTGATGCCTCATAAGTCATTTTTTATTGATGCTTAAGAAGCTCCGTTGTTTCATTTGTGTTTTGTCCATGTGTATTCCCCGTTTTGGGCTTTCCCGTTTTGGGCCTTCCCGTTGTGTTGGTCAAGCTCTCAAAGTGAGACGGGGCAACCGGTGGAGAATTTCCGGGTCTTTGAGGCTGTGCCAGAGCTGCCGGCAGCCAGCTGCAGGTGGCCCTTCAAGGCGTTCCGATTTTTAGTCGATCAAAGGGAAATGGGAAGGACCCTCAAACTACCCACACAAAAAGAAAATCACCACATACGTTTGGGGCAACCAACTTTTTAAGGGTAGTTTGAGAGTCCAGCAGGTATTGTGTCATTGTTTGGGACAATGGCTTCGGTTGTTTCTTTGGATTTCCTTCAAAGCCACCCACAATTGGGTACCCTCACAAAAATACACACACACACACTCAAATGCTCTTGATAAGGTTCGGATGGGGGTGGCTGTTATTTGGGGAGAGGGCAAAGTTGTTTGCGGGTTGTTGTCTGGGGAGACGGGGTACCCTCCCTCCCACAGACATGGCACCTGACAGGGGACGTTGAGAGAGGTATGTTTTCCTTGTTGGGAGGTGTGTCACCATGTGGAGCATTATCAAATGAGCTTGCTTTTGGCTGGGTGATGTTTAAGATTGCTTCACGGGGGCATATCATATATCTATTCACTAGACTGTCTCTGTATATATATATATATATATAATTTATAATATATATATATGCATATGTGTTTGTAATGCATACATGTGTGTATAAGTAGCCCTGAAATTTCGTAACCTCACCTTGCCGACAAAGGTCCTCAAAACTCTTCTATCATGAGAATCCCTAAGAAGTTTCCTTCAGAATCTTGCCTTGCGGATTGATGGCCCCCTTTGCTTTCCGCCCTGCTGGGCGGGCCTCAATTTGTCAATACTTGGAACAGGGGTAAAACAGTCATGATGCTAAGGCCATAGCGTTGAGGAAGTAGCCATAAGCGACAGAGGTGACACACACACACACACACGCAAATACATGCGTTGGGTGAAGAGGATTATTTGTGTCCACCCTTAGCCTTGGCAGGCCTTGTGGATGATCTCTCACAGAAATACGGCTATGCCATGCAGCTGGCTTGGAAATCAAACTCGGAGGACTGCAAGCCGCAGCCGTTGGATTTGTGGGGTTCCTATGTTGGGTTCCCACGCTTGGTGTTTTCACTTGTTGGGTTCTCATGTTAAGGTCCCAGAATTCGGCCAGAGCCAGTTAGTGAAGCTTCACCCGTGAACAACTAAGAGCCCAACACATGTTGCACTGTGTTTTTTCTTTCTCGGGAACCCCTTCTTGCCGTTTAGACTTAATGTTGGGCAGAACTTACAAGCATGGAAAAGTGAGCAGCGCCCAACATCCCTATTTGCAGTTGTGGTAGGTGGTTTAACATGATGGTTGAATTGGGCTAACAAGCCTATATAAACATGCAGGCACCAAAGATGGCGGAGATTCATGAGCTCCCGCTGGAGATCACCTTGGGAATATTTCATGTTATTGTCCTTGCTTTGGGATGCCTCAACTGAGGTCCCTGAAAATCATAGCGATCACTGCAGATGGAGTTTCAGTCGTTGCTTGAAGTCGCAGAGCGGGGCGGGCGCACTCAAAAGCAAAGACCCATGTGAGAGATTTGTGCTACAGAAACCAAGGAGTCGCCCGCAATGTTGGCCCTCCAGAAAAATCCGAAACGTTTTCCAGCTTGGTGGGGAAAGGTCTTCACAAAGATTCCTTGAGGATTGCAGTCATCCTGCTTGACTTGTCCGGAGCAGACAATCACGTTTCGTCAAGCCGTAGGTACAATGCAAAGGGTCGGAAAGTTCAGAGGGGTTGTAGACGAGCCTTGCCGTTCAGGGGTCTCCGCGCTCACTTCACTTGACACAGCAGCAAAAGACGCCACAATCAGTTCACTGCAAAACGCTCTCACCTGGGAGCTTGCAGGTTAATGTTGACCCCAGATTAATAAACCCCTGTTTATGAATAGGGGGGTGTCCTCGGTTTTAGTGGGGGTTCGCCACGTTTGGAGAGGAACCCCCCCATGTAAATAGACAGGGGTTATTAATCCGGGGTCAACATTAGCGGTTTCAGTTTTATTTTAGAGGTTCCAGGGCATCCCATGGCAACTTTCCGAGCACGGAACTGCCAGTTTCCAGAGGACTTCGCAGTGTCAGCTGGTCATGATCCAGTCACCGGCAGGGCCGCTGCCTTGGCTGTCAGGAGTCGATTCCTTGGGTGAAAAGCGAAAGCTCAAAGACGGAAATTCCTGGGCGACCCGTACGAGTGGTCCTCAAAATCATGGCACTTTGGAGTGGTTTCTCTTACCATGTGGGGTATGGAGTGAAAGTAAACCAGGGCACCGCAGATTTTAGTCCTTGGTTCCAGTTGCCCGGGTTCCATAGGTACCTATTCTTGTCCCACGGCCGTGTAGAGGCTTTTCAGGACAATTTCCGACTGCTACTTTGGGCCCAATTTTCAGGTTCGTATAATTGAACTGAGCTTCCTGGGTGATGTTTGAACGGGGGGTCAAATTGGGATCCTTGCGTTTGCTGCTTGCTCGGGTGGATGGCTCTTTGGTGGTATGCTTTATTATGTTCTTCTTCTTCGTCTTCTTCTTTTTCTTCTTCTTCTTCTTGGCGTAGACTGCTTTACGGGGCCGTAGGTTGCGTGAGGAAGGGCAAAGTTGCAAGGCATGCCAGTTGCAAGGTATGCAAGGCTCTGTTGCCCAGTGGTGCCCTTTTTTCCTTTTTTTGGCTACGGGTTCCCCTTTAAACGCAACCAACACAAAAAGGTGTCCTTTTTTTCCCATGGTCACTGGGCGTCTGAGAAGGCAGCTTGCCTGATAATTTACCAACGTGGAGTGCAAAACGGGGTCCTCCAAACAGATATTTGCCTCAAATGTTGCCTCCACCCGAATGATGGTAACGGATAGAGAAACGCAAGTATGCTTTCAAGAAGTTGCCCCGCATCAAGGCCAAATTGAATTCCTGCAAGGACCATGACCTCAGGTATCCCTTAAATGGTGGTGGTTTGGGGGTTTGAACCCCAGTTCCTTTTGACACCAAACAGGAGGGTAGGATGCTGCATGCGGCTTCCTGGGGTTTTCGCCGGTTTCTGTCCAACAGGACGGCTGAGAGACAATAGGATCAGGAAGGTCTTCAGAATCCTCAGGCCCGAAGAACCTTTCCCCAGAGGCGCGAAGGGTTACAAGCTTCCACAAGCCCGCCCAGACCCAACTCAATTAATTTTCAGATAGACGCCCAAGACGGATTCCCATTGGCCGTTTTGGTGGTAGGTGGTTCTACCACCTGGTTTCGCAAGGGTCATAGTAAGGCCGAACCAAAAGTCAGTATATTAGTCTGTATATTTCGGGCGCTGCTACACGGCCAGATAGATGTTCGTGGGTGGAGCAAAGGGAGCTGGAGCCACGTGATTCCTCATGTCGGGCCGATGAATTTAAGCAGTTACGGCAGAGATAGGCACGCTCCCACCCGACATGTTGAGGGCAATCTTCTTGGTTGGATTGAAGGGAAACCAAAAGCATGCCAACAACATTGGGCGTCCCCATATATGTTCAATTTGACACACAGCCATTGCTCCAGCAACCTGGCGATTTCGCCGAGGCTGTCACGTCAGAGGACACCTTTGCTTTTGGTTCTGGCACCAAGCCATACACGGCGGCTTGGATTCATTGGTGCCAATCCTCCACCGCGCAAGGCGCAAGCTATGACGCTGTTGCCACTCGATGCTTGCATTCTTGGGGTCAAGCCTGAGCATATCGCAATGGGAGTCCTTCGCTGAGCAACTTAGTGAATCCACCAAGCGGATGCATCCAGAGCCGCATTGCCGTTGTCAAGTCCAAGTTCAATGTCTTCGAAAGGTACGCCGCATGCACACATTGAAGGCCTTGAGCACATTACTCCATGGTCGATCTGTCTCATGATCTGCAGGTTTCTGGGTTAGTGAGGAGAATTGTCTTCCAGGAAGTTTCTTCAGATTCATTGGGTTCACGCTTCCAAGAGCTGTAGGCATGAAGAATTCTGCTCACTTCCTGCACCTTCATTTGAACACATATTTTTGCTCGATGTGGTTTGTCACACTTTTTCTGGCCGACTGAACAAATATGGGCCGGTTGGGCCGAGTTGGAAAGAAAATGACCGGTTCTATGGAAAAGGGTTGTGTCTATCCTTGCAGGCTGCCGTTCTGCATGGGCGGCCCGCAACTGGCTTGCCATGCGGGTGATGATCTGTTTGCCCTTCCTGGACAATACTTCCGGTTTGAACCCTGGAGTTCCAACTGATGAGGCAACAGAGCTGGTTTTGTGTGATCCTGTAATTCTAGATTTGACAACTTTTTGAGATTTGCGTCCGTTTGCGGGTTTTTGCGTCCGTTTTTGCGGGTTTTTGCGCCCGATTTGCGGCATTGGGCACTTTTGCGAGAAAACGGCAAATGGTCAGACCAAAGGCCAATTCTTGTTTCCAATTCCTGTCCCTGTGCTGGCTCCACTTCTTAACGGCACGAAATTCAGGATTTGCGACAAAGCTAGGCGATGCCTAGAGCCGCAGGCTCAGCTACCCCGAAAATGCTTCACAGGTAGGAAACGCACTGTTTTTTACAGAAAGTGTTCGTTTCTCAGAAAACTGCTCGATTGTGACAACGACCAGTCTTGAAGGCCACTTCCAGAAAAAGTAGTCGATGTCCCAATTGAACAAAAATAAGTGACCGCTTGACGCTGCAGGTTCTGTGATGCCACAGTATGTTCTCCTACAAAGCCCTTCCAGTGGACTTTTCCACAAGAAGCCACCCGCAATACCACCCTGGGAAGCTGACGCAGCCCCTACCTCTGGGCCCTTGGGATCATGAGTCTCAATGAGCCAAGGCGGTGCTGGTCATGAAGCTGGCTTCGGAAGGATTGGTGGAGCCCCTGTGCCGCCAACTGCGAATCCAAGGCTGCGAACTTTGATAGGGAACCACCTCAAAACTTGGTGGCTCCCCCAGCCATCCGGTTCCTTAGCTTTTGAGCCTTTTAGTGTCTGGTGGTAGTTTCCATTGAACCCACTAAAAGTTAAACTTTTAGCAGAAAAGTGGTGGACTTGGATCCCCAAATCAGTGATGTACACCAAAAGGTCCGGGACCCATTTCAAAAGTCACACCCGTTTCAGCGTGTCTTTTCGTCGGGTGCCTATTTTTTGCGGCGGGGAGGACCAAACGATCCGAAATTATCCGTAGAGGTTACCCCGCGTGGAGACTCGGTCCATTGGCTGAAGGTGTGTCTTTCTCCTTTTGGTTTACTTCACTGTTGTTGGCAAGATTTTAGGTTTTTGCTTTTTTGAGGCTGTTCAATTTTGTCAGGGGGCTCCAAAAAACATGTTTTGCTAGCATACCAAGGGTTGTAAAGTTTCACGGAATCAGAAACGCAGGCAAATGTTGCTTGTCTGCATGATTGCTTCCCACTCCGTTACATGCTGGCATTCCGCCCGGGCCTAATATTTTGAGCCAACCTCCCTTAAGTTTGGGGCCAGGACTTTCCTCACATCTCATCGCCATTGCAGCTCTGAGTGTTGCGGTGGTAGATCATGAATAAGTTGGCTTGGTGTGTCTCCATTGCAACGCCGGCCAAGGAGCTGGAACCAAAAGAGGTTGTTCAAAAGGTGTGGTCTAGCCCCAAAACAGAATCGCCCAAGGGCCGTAGTGGGATCGGGCCTTCGGCACCATTTTTTTCACCACCCCCGGTTTTTCGGGGTGTTTCCTCCCCATTTGGCCATGAATCGTCAGGGGTGTTCCCCTCAAGAATGGCTGGTTGCACCAAAGGGTCTAAACAACAAACAAGCATCTTCCGCGTTTTTTGGTGTTACCTTCTTTGGCAGGTCCAAAGGCAAACCAACAATTGAAGCACATTTTGAATAAAGGGTGGGCCAATTGAAGCAATTTGGGCCCCAAGGGCAACCCAGCAGCCATACCCATTTTCACCACACACACACACATCCGGAGTCGAGACGCCTAGGCTGGACAAGCCAGCAGCCCAGTACGTGGACGGCATCCTGAAGCAAATGAACCTGGGCTTCAGAGCGTTTTTTAGACCCCTTGAAATTGGTTTCTCTTGGAGTTTCCCTTGAGGGAACCCCCCCCTTTTGCGGCTTGAAAGGGAAACCACAAGGAAAGCCCACCCATTTTCACCCCCCCCCTTTTGCGGCTTTGAAGGGCAACCACCCACCCATTTTGGGGAGGGGTCAGACCCCCCCAAAAAATGGTTCCCACTCCAGATTTGCGGGGCTTGGACCCCGGGAGATCCGCGGCAAAGCCGGAGGAACGGCACCTCGATGGTGGGGCTCTTCGGGGCGAAGGCCAGCGACGTCACGGTGGGCCACCTCCTGCGTGGCTCGAACCGCAAGAAAAATCCGATTTCGCGGGGCCAAGGGAGTCGCGAGTCGAAAAGGAACGGGGTGCCAAGACTGAGCTGTCCTCTTTCGTTGGTTTGCCATTCTTGTTTAACAAAACGCGGCCCCCGGTTTGCCTGGGTTACCTGGTGGTTCGATCATCTACCAGGGCCATCTGCTTTCCAGAAAGAACACTTATGGTCCCAAGTTGTTCCGGAGTGAGTTTGCGGATGGAGCGCCGGAGGACATGGACATGTAAATTAGAATTCCTGAACTCAATTGCCTTCCGCAGATTGAGCATGTCGCATGTTGCAACTCACTTTGTTTCCTTCGGTTGAGCAGTCGCTCCAACAACTTGTCTTCCAAGCGATTGGCAAGTGCTAAAAACAGAGGCTACGAAGCCTTGTCCCAAGTCTTAAGTTCTATTGGGCTGCTTGCGGTTTTTAGCGCCGTTGGAGGCTCCTGCTTGTTGTTTGAGCAGTCTTGAAGTTGTGAGATATTGGCGGTTTCTCGTTTCTCTCTTGGAGAAGGCACGTTTAGATATCTTTGAAGTTCAAGTTTGATCAAGTGTTGTCGTTCTGAGGTTTTAAGGTTTTTGAGGTCATATACGCACTCTCGAGTTGCGCCGTTGGGTTGATGGGCCTCGTTTGAGGTTTGAGGGTATTGCTGCTTCCTATAGGAGTTTGAAGAACTGCAGCATTTGCGAACTTTTTCTTGTACATTCAGACCCGTTCCATTTGGACCCAGCCAAGGGCACCTGAAGGGTGCCAGGATGCCCTTCCCACAGAACGCCCGAAGAACCATTCTCACACCTCCCTCTAAGTTTCTGTTTGTTGAACTGCTTCTTCCATTGAAGATTCACGAAACATGGCCCAGAATCAAACGTACCGAGGACGCACTCCTCTTCGCACAAGTGGGGATGTATGCAGCCCTATGAATACCGGCATAGGCCACACGGGTTGTCTTTGTTGATTGGGGTCAATCAAAATGACGTAGATGTGGGAGTTTCTGAAAATGGTGGATCCCTTCTGGTCAGATTTCAAAAAAGACCAAAGGGTAGCCATAGCTTTAGGGCACCCCCCCCCCCCTATTTTTGAGAAGCCCTCAGCAAGGTGCGACTTTTCCTGGATGACTTGTTGGTGCACCAAAAGGAAGCGAGCCACTTTAGGGGGGGGCTATCTTGAGACAAGGCCTTGGTTTTTGGCTTCGCCATATCGACGGGATGTTTTTTTTTTTCACCGGCGCGTTGGTTGCATGCGAGGTATGCAGAGTGGTCTGGCGGACTTCGACGTCCCGGGCTTTGATGATGCCCTGCTGAAGAAGGGCTCCTCAGCGCACAGCCCCATGGAGTTTCTGCGACCTGGCACGACCTCCCCTGGGGTGTTTTCGAGTTGGCAAAAGGTACATTTTTCTGCAGGGGCTATTGGATGTGGGTGTCTATTACGAGCACCCTTTTCGGTGTGTCTTTCTAAACGGGTCGCCAACCAACTTGTTGTAGGACATTGTTGTCCAACTAAACTGTCTTTGATGATTTGTTGGGGCAGAGCTGAGGCGCCCAAAACAGTTTTGCACACCTACAAGCTTGATATACCCTTCTGCCGCAGTTCCACATGGATCCGAAAACTGCGATCTCTTTTGTGTTGTTGCTTGTTTACATATAAGGTTTACTGACGATGTATAAGACTGCAGCCTACGTATACCAGGAGCCTCAAAAACCGATGAACATGTCATACCTACAAAAAACACGATGTTTTTTGGGAAAACACGATGTTTTCGGGAAACACCGCATTTTCGATTTCAAGCAGTTTCCCATACATTCCTTCAACTCGTCATCCGTTCTCAAAAGATCTCAAAAGCATCATCTCAACCTCAGAATCTCCCATCGCCCTCCCCTGTTGCACTCGTAACGAAATCAGCTTCGCATTCGCCACTCGTCTTTCGCAACTCCAATCTGAAAGAAGGAGGCCGGGGACCCAAATAGTCAAAAGTACCACGGTTTTATGACACTTGTCAAGCAGCAATGCCATGCTGAGGGCGTGCTGGCTTCGAACAGCGCGCAAGCTCAAGCAAAGACCGTGCTTTTGCTCACGACTTCGTTGTTTTCCAGCAACATTCTCGAATTAGCGCATTCGTGGTTCAACCCGAAAAACCCATAGAATTTCCACGCTTTGCCACGCTTTACTACGGGTTCTCCACGGTTTAGCTACGGGTTAGAAAACACGATGTTTTCCAAAAACACGATGTTTTCGGTTGGGGCTGCGGGCTTTCTACGGGTTTCTACGGGTTTTCTATGGGTTTCTACGGGTTTTCTACGGGTTTCTGCAGTTAGCCGCCAGGATCCGCCCCATTTTCTAAAAACAACTCAACATTGATTTAAAAAAAAAAGAACAATCTCAAAAGTGTCACCTGGTCTTGTTTTGCACCAAAAGGAGCTTTCGGATTCCAGCACCCCCTTCAAACTGGTTCGGTATGACCTGGTGCCAGTCTTCAGGTGCCTGTTGCTGTGAAAGGTACTTCAAGACTGAAGCCAGCTGCACACCCTGGCTGTCAGGCTCATCAATGTGGTCCTTAGAATTTGAAGCATACTCAGTATAGAGCGTTGCCCTCAGTTGAAATCTTAATGGGTGATGTCTGTGTGAATCCACTCCCGACCCTTGCCTTTGACCCTTTGCTCCAAATGAGCGTTTGGCCTCAGAAGCCCATTTTTAAGTGGTTTTGTCAAAAACACGATATTTTTCCTGAAAACACGATGTTTTCAGAAAATCGAGAAAAACACGATGTTTTAGTCGGGGTACGACATTTTTACAGGTTCTTGAAGCCCTAGGTATACGAATATTCTATATACTCTTTGAGCCCAGACCCCCAGTGGCCATGAGAGTCGACACTCTCTTGTTGGTGGTTCATCCGTGGTTCAGACTGGGCTCAGACCTCTTTCCTCGCCTCTACACTTTTCTGAATAAGCTGATGATCTTCATGTGAGTAACAGCAACTGTTTGCAGCTGGCATTCCCAGGTTGCAAATATGTATTCTGCCATGGCTGAACACAGATCGTTTTTTGGGAACTCCCAGACTGGGAAACTTACTGTCTTCTTGTTCAAAAGGATATCTTAACACACTGAACGACCGTAGTTGCGCGCTTTGAGAAAGCCGGCTCCGTGCCGTTCAAGTACCAGTTGGTTCCCAATTTCCACTTGCGAACGTGGACCTACCAGAAGGGACCTGCCTTCGTCACGAAAGTGCATTTCTTCTGGGTGACCTTCCCTTGCAGCCAGGTCCCCACCCATCTCTAAACCGTGGTTTCAAAGTATGCCGTACTGACTGTGTCTTAAACTAGTTCTTACAGCATGCTCCTACCATCATTTGGTCACGCCAAGGCGGCCCAAAGGCGAATTGCTACCCCTGCTGCCGTGTGCCGTTTCTGTTGGGCTGTTTTGGGGATTCTGCGGATTCCATATCCATACAGACAACTTCGCTTCACCTAAGTGGCCCGGAATGAGAATGAACCGCCTTAGTATTGGAGACAGGGGCACATGAGTATGTGTCACAACAGGGGCCCTAAAACGAGGCTTGTGTGGCAAATGGATGCACTCATGGAGTGGATCGGGTGCAGGTTTTCGGCCAATCCTTGCATGACTGGGTAGCTAGCAGTAGGCTGACCAAAAAAATGGGGTTGTCATCAGGAGGATGTTGATCAATATCAGCATGGCTGCGTCACGGAATCACTGGACCGGGCGCCTGTCACCAAGTAACTTGCCCCAGGGATTGACGGTCAACACAGGCCCACAGGTTTAACTCATCAGGCACGCCGCCGCCAGCCAGAGCCCAGCCTTCCTGTGCGACCCGGGCCAGTGCACCAGCTACACCAGCCGCTGGGCCGCAACTGCCCCGAAAGCCCCTCCCTTTGAACCCTTGAAAGCTTCATCCCTGAAGCTATTTGGGCAGAGACCCCATGGCTTTCAGCTGGGAAAAAACACGCATACGCTAAAGAAGCGCGGCAGAAGTGTCCGTTTCAGCCCTTGATTGCACGGTTTGCCCCCCAAAAAAGGCAGAACATCACGACATTTTGGGGTTTGGCGGGTTTTCACGATGCGCAAATCCACTTGAAACGGTTCTTACTTAGTGTTTTGCTTAATGTTCTTGCCTGGCATGCGCGTGCTTTGACCCATTCCCAATAGGCATTTTGTTGGGGTTCTATCTGCTGTTTTGGCACATGGATGCCGCTCCAAACACGGGAATCTTCAAACAAAGACGTCTTCCCAATGGTGCGCCTTTCAACCAACTCCGGAAGGGTCCCGGCTTCAAAGCACATGGCCCTTGTGCTGGGGAGAAAGAACATGTTTGTTCTTCTGTGGCACGTACTTTGAAGGGGTTTCTTTCCAACTAACACCCAGAAGGGTACCTGGCTTGCCAGAGTTGCTCCAGTCACGGTGGCACGCCAGGGGACGTTGCCGTAAAGCAGCGAAGGAAAGAAGGAGAAAGAGAGAACATGACTGTCTGCCATGTTGCCCGCCTGGTTCAACGTTTGGGAACATCCTTGTTCTTTGCCCCTGACCCAAATGATGATGCTAGAACACATTTGAATCCTAATCCTGCACCAGTAGGTGGTTTATCCTGGTTCGTTCAGGGTTTCACAAAAGCCCCACTGCGAACTGGATTCTGAGCATTAGTAGGTTTACATGCTGGTTCTCAGTAGGGAATCAACAGACATTTGGGGATGAACCCAGGGATCCCTTTGCCGGAAACCACCAGTTGGATGGTTTCTCTCTCGGTCATTCCAATTACTTTCCAAATCTCATTCCTTGCCTGCATGTTCGAGCCTGAAGGCCGGAGCTTGAGTCAAAGCAGATCTTGGCAACATGCAAACCCTTCAAAGAGACCTACTTTGCTGGTGCTCAGTAGAGAATGAGAGAATGAACCTGCGGATTCCCCACCCACCCACCCACCCACCCACCCACCCACCCACCCACCCACCCACCCACCCACCCACCCACCCACCCACCCACCCACCCACCCACCCACCCACCCACCCACCCACCCACCCACCCACCCACCCACCCACCCACCCACCCACCCACCCACCCACCCACCCACCCACCCACCCACCCCCCACCCACCCCACTCACTCACCGAGGCACGAACTACGTCCTGGCGGGGTTCGTGGCCCTGGGCGCCAAGGGTCAAAGTGACTGGACCGCCCTGGACCAGGCGCAGATCTTCCCGCAGCCCGTGGCGCGGCGAGAGTTCATTGGAGTCAGAGGTTCATGTACAGGTGTGGCCCTATATGAAACGGTCCCTGTATATATATATATATATATGTATATGCTTACATAAGTGTTGTTTTGTGACAACATTGGGAGTTGTTGGTTTTTTTTGGGAAGGTTGTTTCAAAGGGGGGGAGGACGTCAACCAGTTCAGGGGCGACCCATGAGACAGACCCCTTTGTTCAGCCGGCTAAGTCAACAGTTTCTGGACATCATACTTTTTGGGTAAGACAATTTTAGTTGGAATCGAACACGCTCGGAGTTCTTGTGACTTGAAATCTGAGCTGAACTTCTACAGCTAGAGTCCTTTCAATTCAAATGCACTGCAAGGGAAAAAGCCTCCCCCTGCGAGAAGGATTGAGAGTTTTTTGGAACAACTCCACGCTTGATTGACTTGTGGACATTGTTTCAAGACAGCAACAGGAAACCACTCATTTTTTGGGTTGCCTGTGTGTAGGAAGCATTCAATCAAATGGTTGTTAGAGGCTGTACAACTCGAGCGGCTTGTTTCCTGTTTGTTGAAAACCAGGAGTCTTTTCAACAACCAGCTCCTGAGGCGGCTGCTTTGTCGATGGCTTTTTGGAAAGAGGTATCGGAAGTCAACACTAGAGTTTGGTTGGACAGTGAGAAGTGTGGTGTTGGCAAGTTGTTGCGCAAGGACCTCCCCTACAAAAGTGGCACGAAAGATCCAGGCTCACTTGGATGTGAAAGGATGATGTGAAAAAAGGTACACTGATGTGATACTGTGGGTGGACGAAATCCTGCACCACCTAAGAAACCCTGGAATGATTGCATTCCCCTGTAAATGCCAACAAACAATGGTTTTAACCCTGGTTTCAAAGTGGTGCGAAATGGATGTCGTCTATCCACAGTATGAGGTGCAGTTCCCCACATATTGTTATGGGCAAACTGGCCTTCGGCACTTGAGTCGAGTGCTTGCGCCCTCCAGCTTCGTCGAACCCATCTTGCCAAACATTTATCAAGTAATCAGAATGTTTGGAAGTGGATGTCGCTTTCCCAAAGCCGATCTTTTTGGACCTTTTGGTTTCCCCTTTTGGTTTCTGTTTGTTGTAGCCCCCACAGTTGGAGCCCAAGCAGTTGGAGCCCCCACCCACGTTATGAAGCCCAGCCGTTGGGTCCATCTTTAGTGGCCCATACACAAACGTGATGGCCTTTAAGTTGTGGGTTGAAGTGTTGAAGGTGTCCGGACTCCTGGAGGCGGAGGATGGAGGTGGACCGAGCTGGCAGTCCTGGTGGCTTCTACTTGATGTTTGCCCGGGCTGTCCTGGTAAGTGGGGCCCTGAATGTTTGTGGGCACCCTTTGCCTTGCTCAGTCAATGAGTCAAGGCCCTCCGGACGCATCCGGGGCAACTGAGTACTGTCTTTGTAGGGGATGTGGACTTCTGCAACTCTGAGTGGTGCCCCACTGGCGTTTCAAAGGCTCAAACTTGCAAAGTCCCAACCCTTGTCACTCGATGTTTAGCCCCCCCCCTTTAAGTTGGCAGTTCTGTAGTTTCAGGCGACTGAGTTGGTGATTGCTAGCAAAAGACCCCTTCAACTCCAAACCACTCTTCCAGACCACCCGTCCAGACCACCCTTCCAGACCACCCTTCCAAACATGAGACGGTCGCCGGTCCCCTGCCTGCATGCCAGCTCAGGCAGATGCCAAGTACCAGCGCTGCCGCTTTGCGGACCAGGGCCGCCTGAACAGCAGCCTCTCCGTGGCAGGACCCGCAGAAATATCCGCGCGCGGTGTACGGATCCTTTTTAAAGGGTTCCATTTTGGCACCGGTTTTTTGAGACACAGCCTTTTGGGTTGATGGAAAGCCCGGTTTGGGGAAAACCGCTCCGTTCCGTTGCTCCAAAAAATCCTTTGAGGCACAACAGCGGTTCGAATCTAGGCAGGGACCTGATGTGACAAAGCAAGGGTCATGGAATGGCCGACTTCAGTATCACAGAACGAGTGATATGTTCACAAGCTTGCCATAGTTTGAAGTATTGTTGCTTGAACGCAGGACAACATCACTGTCGAAAGCTGATGTGACAGGAGTTGTGACAGAGCTTTCACTTTTAAG